AGAAGTGTTTGCATATACGGCAATGAATTGTACCGTGTGCGTGTACATATGTGGGCTCCAGTCTCACTAATCATTTCCAGTAAAACATTAAAACGTACAACAAAATTCAGTCATATACTTACCGACAACAGCAAACGGCCATATTTTATCCACCGCTTCTGCGACGAATACCCCACCGCCGCTGTGATGGATCCACCGCTTCTGCGAAAGCTATGGCCAGTGTGTGATTGGCTTAAACAAATTGGCGAGCACTAAATCAGGATTGATGCAACTTGAATAGCTTTTAATGTGTATGAGAATTGGCCCGGACAAAAATAAAGTATAATAATAAACAAACGGTATAAAAAAAACTCTAAAATCATGAAGTACAGAGTACCCGTTTACGTGCCCTGCTCTTGTTCTAAATGAGATCTATCATCCTATGAAGTTTTAAGTCCATAGCTTTTATTGCTCAGGAGAAATGGCTCGGACAAAAATAAATTATGAAAATTAACAATGGGCAATGTCTCAAAAAATAAGAGGTGCAGAGGGTACCGGTTCTTGTGTACTGAACTTCTTGTTAACGAGGTCTATCATCCTATGAAGTTTAAAGTCCACAGCTTTTATAATTTAGGTGAAATGGCCGAACAAAAATAAAGTATTATAATTAACAAAGGGCAATAACTCTAAAATCGTGAAGTACAGAGTACGGGTTTACATTCTTCTCAATGCGATCTATCATCCTATGAAGATTCATGTCCAATGCTTCTCTAGTTTCGGAGAAATGGCCCAAACAAGAATGAAATATCATAAACAAAGGGCTGTAACTCAAAAATAAGAAGTGCAGAGTACAGTTGAGTTCACACTAAAGGTTACACAAAGTGCACTAGGAGTGCACTAGATGTGCACTACTAGTGCACTTCAAAGTGCACTAGTAGTGCACTACTAGTGCACTTCATAAGTGCACTTTGTAGTGCACCAGACCTATTATATGTATTAAGCAGTTACCTTTTTTTCAATGAATAGCAATTTGACTTTTACAAAAAGATAGATAAATATAGATATCTGTATAATTGTTTTTCATAATAAATTTGAAGTTGTGAATATTGAATTTTGTAAAATATGGCGTAAAATATTAGAACAATAATTTTTCAAAGTCATTAATTTTACTGATTTTAAAACTTATTTGTTAGAACAAGTAAATATAAATAATTATAACTTTAATGTTGATAAGTGCATAAATAAACAAAATCAATGGATATTTAATATGAATCTATTTTATTATAATCTGGTAAAGAAATATGAAACATTGAAAAGCTAATTAAACAAAATTCAGTCAGGTTTTTTCTTTGGGGTGGGGGGGGGAGGATGGCAAATTAAACCAATTAGATATTTTTGATCCTAACTTATGGTTGTTTAAGTTAAAGGTAATGATTTCAAGCATTAATAGCCTTTAATACATTAAAGATTTAATATGTTTATAATTGGCCTAAATTTTATCAATTTTATCTCTCTCTTTTATAATCTCTCTTACCTTCTGAAACTAAGATTTACCTAAGATTAATATAAATGATGTATATTATTCTAAAAATAAATATTTATATATAATGGTGGTATATTAAGTATTGATTCGTGTGGATTAAGTATTGATATGTACCTGTGGGACACTAGTATACTTTAACTGACATGGATATTTACAAAAAGATTAGAAAATCTTTCAATTCCATTTTTTGAGACGACACCAATCTTTATTCTTTTTTTCATGCATTGTAACATAATTATGCAATATGATTATTTTCATGAGTTTATTATAATATGCAAAAATATTTCAGTTTTCTTTTTTGTACTACCTGTGATGATATTTGTTTGCAGGAATACAGAATTAACATTGCCTACTTATATTTATCATCTGCCTTCTGTTATTTACCCTGAGGGGCTCTCTTATCAGCAGGGTACTATATTAAAACACCAATACACAGCATGACTTTTGACACTTCAATCTTCTGTAACTGTATGGTATTTTATTTAAAAACAAAAACAAAAAAGACAAAAAACAAAAACATCTGCATTAAAGTGAAAAGAAAGTTGCAAAAGTTTTATAATCATGTATTTAAATATTTTCTTTAAAATATATTATCTTCTAATTGTGTTAAAACTGACAAGGTAAATTTTTCAAATCTATAATAGAAAAAATTAACATTTCCCAGTTCAGAAACTAAAAGATGATTTTAATGCAGAATTGCAAGAAATATGGATAAATATTGATATGAGTTCTTTCCAGAATAAACACTGATATTGATTTTAAACCAGTTTTTTATGATAAGATTAGAAAATTCCACTTCAAAGACAATAATGACAATAATATCTAACATGCGTTTATGCCATTATTTTTAATTTTTTTACATTTGATTATAGTCCTTTATCTTAGATGTCTTACATGTATTTTGAAAAAAAAAGAACAGGAAATTTTAAATAACTATTGCTACATCTGCATTTTTGTTATTTACCCTGAGGCCCTCTTATCAGCAGGAGACCAGTATAATGAAAACAGGCACTCTCAGAAAAATACCAATACACAGCATGACTTGAGGCTGTCCTCTTGTATAAAAGCATTCCCTTTATACATTAAATTTTTAATATAGAAATCTTAAAGTCATCAATTTTATTTATTTCATGCACAGATATAATATTATAAACTTATATTTATCTGCATAATTTCATGGAAAAAAATTAATTATTTATATCGCAAGCATTTCATGGTTGAAAAACATAATATCACAGTGTATGGATTGTTTTAAAATCAATGAATTTAAATATTCTGTTTCGAACTTGAATATGAGGAATTGCCTCTTAAGTTATATATTATTATGCAGAGTGGCAAGAAATGTGGATAAATGGATAAATATACAAAATTCCGCTTTAGAGACAATAATATCTAATATGCATTTATGCCATTATGATTTTTTTTGTATATTTGATTATACAAAAATTATGGTCATTTATCTATATGACTAACTAGCCTGAGTGCCAAAGCCTGATAAATCCCAGGCTTATGTCTAACATGCGTTTTGAGAAAGCCAGGGAATTTCAATGCATACTTAAAATCCTATATCCGTAAAATTGACTGTTCTTTGTTATTTACCCTGAGGCCCTCTTATCAGCAGGAGAGTGGTATAATGAAAACAGTCCATCTCAGTAAAATACCAATACACAGCATGACTTGAGATTTTCCCTTTATACATTAAATTTTTAATATTGAAATCATGAATAAAGTTATCAAATTTATTAATTTAATGGATAATATTTTAATTATTTATATCTTTAAAACATATGCAAGCATTACACAGTTTAATACTAAATTATCACAGTATATTGATTGTTTTAAAATATATTAATATTCTCTTTCAATATTGAACATGAGGAATTGTCTCTAAGTTATATATTATAGAAATAATATTTTAGTTAAATTTAAACCTTTCCTTGATTTGTTTAAGCTCATGAAAAAAAAAGTTTATGTTGTTACAAACTAAATTAATTGGGCCAGAATTATCACATTGATTTTCCCATTTGTACACTAGAAAAATTGAAATACATGGCCATTAAAAATAGCTTTAAAAAAACACTTTTACGCAATTATCCATTATTGAGCATATTTAAATTTAACCTTATTAATTCTATAAATTTGATTTTAAGGGGTATTATTATACACTTACAGTTAAATACTGGTTAATAAAAATATGATTTTTATTTATATTCATGAATAGGCCATATATTCCCAAAGTTTTTTTTCTTACAACAGCTTAACAATAGATGCCCCCTGTCACTTGATATACAATTATCCAATAAACCATCCAATAAACCATTTAGGTGTCACCTTCCCTAGCCAGCCTGGTCATATGGTCTAGTGCACTAGAAGTGCACACGGTGTGCACTTCTAGTTCAGCTCTAGTGCACTAGAAGTGCACAAGGGTGGGAAGTTTAGTGTGAACTCAACTGTACCAGTTTTTGTGCACTGCACTTCTTAATGAGATCTATCATCATATGAAGTTTCAAGTCAATAGCTTTTTTAGTTCAGGAGAAATGGCCCGGACAAAAATAAAGTATGAAAATTAACAAAGTGCAGTAATTCAAAAAAATAAGAAGTGCAGAGTAATGGTTCTTGTGCACTGCACTTTTAATTATTGAGATCTATCATCCTATAAAGTTTCTAGTCTATAGGAGAAATGGCTTGACAAAAATAAAGTATGAATATTAACAAAGAGCAATAACTCTAGAAATAACCAGTGCATATTACCTGCTTTTGTACACTGCACTTCTTCTTAATAATATTTATCATCATATAAAGTTTCAAGTCCATAGCTTTTATAGTTAAGGAGAAATGGCCCGGACAAAAATAAAGTATGAAAACCTACAAAGGGCAATAACTCAAAAATTAAGTTTTTGGATTAAATTAAATTCAGACATAAATCAAACAAGGCCTATAAAACAGGGAGATGTGCAAAAGATAATTAAAAATATACCAGGAAAAAAATTGAAAATTGTATTTATGTGCTATTCTTAGCCTGATTTGGTGGATTCGAGTAATTTTTCAAATAAGAATATTTGGGCGATTTATCTGCAATTTTGCACCTAGACCTACATCAAATGAAACATTAGTCTTGAAAAATTATTTCCAGTCCCATCATGTCAAAAAAACCTCAGTGGAGTCCCTTTAAGATTGGGTTCTAAGTCACAATAATACTATAGTGTACTAAGGGCATATTGAACTAGTGAAATTAGATAAATGAAACCTCTTTATGCATTATTTCTGCAACATTTAATTTGAATAAAAAATATCAATTACATTAAGTTAAAACATTTTTAGAGCCATAACATAGCATTTTGATACTCAGATTTATCTTAATGCATGTATTATCAAACAGGGATAAAAAACTCATTTGGAAAAGCAAGCTACCCAGTTAACTAACAAAGTGTCTGCTTGTCTACTCAAATATAGTCTTGTGCCTGAAATACATGTAGCACAGTAGGGCACCTAACGTACTTTGGTATTGGCTGGTACTTGCAAAGCAGAAATTACAATATGACCTTTAGGTATGTCAGTATAACCAGAAATCTAACAAAAATAAATATAAGGGAATGGTTTGGGGCAAACAAAATAGGACTGTATTATGAAAGACAGGGGTATAAATATTTGATTATCCTTTAATTTATTTCTAGCTCTGTTTCACTTCAGTCTCCACATGTTGCTCCTGAAAAACAAATAAGTAAAAGATTATGTTCACTCACTATATACCATTGGATGGACATAATTTCATTTGAATATGTTATTCAAATTAAATGATGCAGAAATAATGCATAAAGAGGTTTCATAATACACATTTATTGTAGACTATATTATATATAAAATATTCTTCACCTCAACATTTCCTCATATTTTCTAGCATATAAAAAATAAGATTTAATGATAGATTCTAAGCTATTAACTTTAACACAAATGTCACTGAAAAAAATTAAGATCTAGCAAAACATGCTTTTGATACTGCTCCTTATAATTCCTTATTCAATCCTACAAGTTTACATTCATTCAATTGACATTCAAATGAAATTATGTCCATCCAATGGTATATAGTGAGTGAACAAGTGAAAAATTACATTAATTGTTGCCTTAATTCCTTTCAATTTCATAATTTACAACACATGAACAATAAATAAGTCATGTTGCCCAAAGACATTTTCCAATATAAACTATGTTGATATTTGGAAAATATTTGTACCATGTACTTAACAGGTTACTTGTCACACTGTGGACCTAACATTACCCAGATGATATGGTAAACTCTTCTAACAATTGCATCCTTAACTTACACACAAGACAAAACTTATAATACTCCAACAAAATATTTATATATTGTGTCATAATGAAATAATCTTAACACATAGCGCCAAATAAGCTTTCAGAAGTAATTGGATAATACCCCACCCCCCCCCCCCCCCCCCCATCAAAAATTAATTGGGTATTTACAATTTTTAAATGAATTTTTACTTTTACTTGATGTTGTTATTGTGTATTTATCTGGAGCTCTGCTTATTTCAAGTTATTGGTTTTGACTACATGAACTAGATCTATAGTAAGTTATATTGGTTATATTGTTTGACATGTCTGATTATGCATCTACATGTAGCAATTAACCATTACACATTTGCAATATGAACTAGTCATATATTTTTCCTCCAGATATGAAATATAAATATTTAATTGTTTTCTTAGTTACTAAAAACACATAAAATCTTGTATAAGAAACCATACTCGTAATTCCAACTGGCACAAATATGAGTTTGAGCCAAACTGGTCATACAATTTAAACAACAGTTTCTGGACTTACCTTATGTTTCATCCATGATAATATAGTGTTCCAGACTAGTGTTATCCCAGACACATAAACAACTCTCAAACTTGGTGGCAGGAAGAAAAAATTAATAAATTGTGCAGGAGGCCATAAACACCAGTCAAGCTGAAAAAAAACAAAATATGCTTTATTTTTGCATTGACTTAATTTGTATCAGTCATTTTAAGTTTCTATAATTTGTTATTTATATGATTAAACAGACTTCAGTAAGGTCTACAAGCCTAAAAATATAAATTGGAAGTTTTTACATAGATTAACTGGGGCACTGAAAATGGCAGAGTATAGAAAAGATAATTTAGAAATATACCCAGAAGTAAATTGAAGGTTGATATTATGTCCCAAAGACGTTTAAACTAAGGCAAACAATGTATTATTTTGCTCTTTATAGTAGTAATTTTTTAAATACACAGCAAAGCAATAATTTTATGTGGATAACGTGTATTAGAGATATACTCGTCAAATGCGGCATGAACAATATTTGGAACACACATCTTTTTTCCAAATCAAAAGTGGTTGACCGCAACATTAAACAAAAGCTAATAGAGCAATAGCACCTTAATTCGACATACCCATTAATTCGACACCTTTTTTTACAAACATCATGAAATCCCAGAATTATGCGTTTTAACTGATATTTTGATCGATATTTATGTTCATCATTCATTTGATGACGTCATGAAAAAAATTCAGACCGCATAGGCACCGATTTCGCTGACATTGGTTAGTACAAAAGTGTGGCTCGAAAATTCGAACATAAAAAGTCGCTTCTTAGGGAAACATGTAAGAGGTCGACCTATGTAACAGAAAAACTACTATTTATTTTTTGTCAAGTTATGCTATTGTTAACTTTTTAAACACACTTATTGAAGTTGTTCTTCAAACTGGACCATCAACAGCTTGTCTAGAGTTAAATTTCCAGCCAAGGCGTGAGTGTCGAACTTAGGAACCAAATTTAAAAGGAGGTTCGTAATTTCGACACATGTGACTGAATCAAACCAATTTAGAACTAACTTAAATCAAACTGACCAAATATGGCATTCCATGCACGTATATTGTATTTGGCTGTGGACGAATAAGTATTAATTATAGTATATAAATGTTACTCCGTTAACGATGTTTGTTATTGAGGAAGTTTGAGGTATTAGATGCCGCTAATAAATTCTCATGTAGAAAAATACATTTCATTAGTAACATGTAATGGTAATGTTTAGTGATGTTGTTTATTCTGAAAAGCAGGTATACAATGTATTTGGTTTAAATGAACTTCAGCAATAGGTATATTAGTGTTTTTCAGTTTAAATTACATATTTATGCCTAATTGTGTATACATGTCATCTGAAGCCAATGAAAAGAAATATTGCAGATGTTCGCCATCCAATTGATCAACAATATTTCTATGGTTCAAAGTGGTGTAATATCAAAGACGATAAAAACAGCAATGATATTTTGCATCCTGACTGATAAGCTTAAGCGTAGTGGAAATGCACCAATTAGTTTGAATCCAAACAGTGCGTGCTGACTGTAACAGTACATGTTACCCGCTTATCTGTTATAAAGTAAAGATTACAAGTCTTAGATCATTATGTATGGAAGAAAAACACTTTTAGGAGACATTTTACCTAGAAAAGAAACATTTGCCTGTATTGGTTATTTTAAAACCGGTAGGCTACACGCTACACCGCTCCCTTAGTAAAGTGACAAGACTTGCTTGGCTTTGGGCCATTAGAGATATAATCAATGGTGAGTATGGACTCCACTGATTATGTATTCAGAGAACACCTATGCTTTAAACTAAGAACTAATCTAAAAACAGGAAATGTTTCCGCTATACAGCCTGTCCGTGGTACATAATGTGCACTGCTGACGCAATGTAATTGGAAATCCCCGCTTCAAAGATTAATAATTAACCTTTTTCTCTATAATCAAATTATGTGTGTAAGACATACAAAAATGTATCTACACAAGTCATGCACATTTTTACTAATTCAAGAGATGAACTGATTGTGTTTTTAATATAATATTCTTTCATAATCATGTTTGGCTCGTAAAGTATTATTAATAGTGTTGGAATTCATTTTAGTTGTATATTATTTGAACTTTTAATGTATTTCTTAAACCTTAATTAGGGTGTCGAATCTAGGATCACCATGTCGAAATACCGGACCCTCAATGGACAAAGCTTATACTATTATTATATGGAAAACCTTAGATGCTACTTAAGAAGTAGTGTTTGAAAAGGGCGCGAAAATGTCGGATACTGTAAAGTGCCGTGTTGAAATAAGGATATACATAAAAATGTTAAATTGTAACGAAAATTTATCGTAAGGTGTCGAAATATGGGTACTTTACTCTAGATCTGTTTCTAAACAGCTGGTATTCAAACTTAGAAACTTCTGGAAAGTGTAAAAATTACAAGTTATTTAAAGACAAATTCAAATTTGAAAAGTATATCACAAATACACATCCTAATTCACTTAGATATCTGATTAAATTTAGAACAAGAAACCATAGATTGCCAGTAGAAACTGGATCTTGGCATGGGATAGAACTTAATATGAGAAAATGTACATTATGTAATTCCTCAGTTGGAGAAGAATTTCACTACCTTCTAGAATGTAAATATTTTGATCATCAAAGAAAAAAATACTTAGGACCCAATTATTACATTAGACGAAACATTTATTCTTTTGATAAACTTATGAATATAAACAACCATAGTTATTTTGAATATAAGAAAACATGTATGTTTATTAGGGATATACTAAATTGAAAAATTTATATAATGAAAATGAAATGCATATAACACGTGTAAATTTATTACATGCACATGTTTTGTATGTTAAAAGTACCCAAGGTACTCTCCTTTTACATGTATTATATATGCTTATATTTTTTGTATGTATTCTATTGAGCCTCGAAACTTTGTTAATATTTATTTACCTCATATTGTCAATGTCTTGACCTGAGAGAAATAAAGATATTTGTATTTGTATTTAGTTCTTGACCTAATCTGAGTTAAAAACATCTATTAAATGCTTTTCATTTTTGGTTATTTTGCACAATAAGAATTATCATTGTGGAAAACAGAGTGCAAAAAAGAATAGGAAATTTTGCAAACAAGTTAATGGTATAAATATCTTAGAAACTTATCTCAGACCCATTATGTCAAACCTCAAAAGAGTCCCTTAAAAGATTTCAATAATCAAGTAGCCAACAGTATAAAACAATGAAAAGTGAAACTTTAAAAGTTCGTTTATGGACAGAGCAGTGTATGTATGCAACCGCCTAACTGGCTTAAAGGAACTCCACTGAGGTCAAATATAAAATTTGAATTTCTTACATAGATCATTTGGGGCACTAAAACAGACAAATATGCAAAAGATATTTAAGAATTATACCCAGAAACAAATTGAAAACTGTATTTTTATGCTATATTTAGTCCTTTTTGAGTGAAAAGCTTAGCAAAGCTTTTCAATTTTGGTTATTTTTTACAATTATGATAATTATTCTTAAACAACAGAGTGAGCAAATTATTTGAAATTTTGCATGCCAGTAATTGGTTTATACATACATCAAATGGAAAATTGAAGTCCCTTTAAGCTAAGTCCATCATTGTCGTTCAATAAAGAATTAGTTTAAACATATTTATTTAAGCTCAATTTAAGCTCAAACAAGTTCTTGCAATTTATATTAATCACTTTCAAGTCCACTTCCTTGAACCAACCAGTACCGGTGTCATATGAAAAAACATGGTCATGACCCGATTAGTTTTCAAACCCATTATCCCTGGGTTGAGAGGCAGACACCTTAAGCACTAGACCACCGCTCACTAATTAAGAATTAAGAAACGTCTACAAGACTGTTCATACAGTAGAGACCACGGAATATTCCATAAAACTCTTTCATGCAAAGTAATTAAGTGGCATATGGAGCCTTACTTAAACAATGTGTAAAACTACACAGATCAATGACTTGCTGCCAAACAGCTATAACTCCTTTTTTATGTAATAAAAGTTAAAAACCATCCTCTAAATGTGGAAGCCGGTCAGCCATTTTGCCACATAATTTAGCACAGGTTAAGGTGAAATCATGCAAACCATTAAAATGAAATGAACAATGTTTTCTGACGTAATTATATCAGAAAATAAAAGTAATACCATATAAACTGTCCAGAACTTGGCTTTGACTTCTTCCATACCCTCTTGTCTAGACTTTCCTTCTAAAAGTGACATACCTAAGATCAAAAATATAAATAAAAATGCTTTTAAATACAGGCAGCCAATAAAACAAGATCTGTATGCCGACAGTACGCTCCACTATTCTCAGTGATGGGTAGTATACATGTAATAAAAGCAATGTTGCAAAGGCAGTATTCTGCAAAAGTGCTTTTCAGACTTAATTGAACAAGCAACTTCATCAAATTTGAATTGAATATCCTTGATGTTTTTTTTTCTTTTACACATTCAAAGTTAAAAAAAGTGATACATTATAAAAAAATTTCTGGGGTTTATCTCTGTTAAAAAAAGGGTTTTCCCAAATTTCTAAAACAGTTTAAAAGGTAAAAGGGAAAAAATTATTTTTTAAAATTGCAATTTAAAGGTTTTACAACAGATTTCATCAATTAACAATATGGTATTTACACACCAATAAAGAAAGCTGAACAGAAGAATGGTCCTGCCACAGTTTGATCAGCAAGTATTTTACAGGCTACAGTACGTAAACCAGCACCAGGGAGATACCTATCTAATATCTTATACCATACATGTGACACTGGTCCAAACAGGAATCCCATTGTGAACATTCGACCTGCAATATACAGATAAATATACATAATATACATGTATTAAAGCTTGATTGTACAGTGAATTTCAAGTATTTTCAACTTAAATCAATCACATTCAGTTCTCTTTATATACTGTAACTACAGTTATCAGTACAATGAATATGTTTCATTTTAAGGAAACATGGTTGTATGCTTACATATATACACATATAAAAATTAAAATTTGGTCATTGGTTAATTTACACCAGAAACATGCAAATGAAAATCGAACTATCAAGTCTGGTCTGGTATCCTGCCTACTATATTGGATCAGTAACTTCTTTATTTAAGAGCAACAGTGCAAATAAAAACTCAAACAGGTCAAAGATAATCACTTCAAAAACCTTAAATCTTATTTGACAGTACCCAAGATTATAATTTCAAACACATTTATCTTGCAATGTGGATGTGGTTTATTCAATATATACATGTATTGAAATATTCATCTTACCATATTGTTACATCAACTTTTCAAACCTGTTCAATTTTTCTAAAAATAAAATGTCCCCAGTTTACCTGTCCTTTGAAAGTTGTATGATTTTTCTTTGTTGTCCATCTTCTCAATATGTTGTATAATGCAATCTCCCAGTGCAAGTAAACTAGATGCTGTAGCTGTATTTGTAACTAACAAATACTTGGAAAACATTCTACGCCCCACATGCTGTAACTTATGCAACACCATTTTAGCTGCTTCAGTGAATTCAAGAATTCTGGAAATAAAAACAGTTTGGAAGCTTTCAAATTAAAGAAAGTATTGAAATTTTAATTCCATCTTAATGTTTCATTAGAATATTTTCAAACTCATTATGATATCATTTCTCTCTTTCTATCTACCAGGACTGTCAAAGCCCTCACATGATATGGACAAGATACGATTTCTAAAAATCATTAATTTTCTTAAACTTACCAAAATCAGTTTTACAAAATGACCTTGCATACAGCATGAGATTAAAAACTGATGCAACCTTTAAATTAAAGTCAAGACAAAATTAACATAAAAGATCATTTTATTGTATTGTAGTATATCTACCATAAAAACAAGTTTAACATTATTTTAACATAAAATTGTATAATGTAGATTCTATTTATAAACAATACCTTTTCTAAAACACCCATCGCGAAAATATATGACTATCATTAAACTACATTTTTCACATATTAAAAGTTTTTGATTGATGCTTAAGCATAAAATCATTAAGCTAAAAGCAAAAAAGCATTAAAACAAAGCCAATATCCAATATAATAGCCAAAACAATATTTATTTATTTTTCCCGGAATACTCCATGTTGAAGAGTCAAAATGTGTTTGATTCATGATTTGGAACGGATTTTACAAAATAAATAACCGATTACATAAATTTAAAAAATGCATGGCTGCATAAAGCTAAGCAGAGATCTAGGCTCCAATTAACAACGTTTTTAGTAGCCTACATTTATTTTGATTCAGTTTGAGGAACATCAAAGGCAAATCAATAAACAGTATTAGTGTTGATCGGCCAAAGTCTGCTATGATATAATCAAGCGCATACGGAGATAGCCATTGCAAAGGACGAGCTACAGATTTTATAATAGCACTAATAAAGGTATAATATTGACAATATTTTATTCCAAATTTTGAATCAAAGTACAATCGATATGTTCTTTAATACTTGCATTAATGTTATGACATAATTTATTTGTATTTATCAAATTCATAAAGTGTCCTACCTTTTAACCTTTATAAATAAATATTGAAATTTCTGAATTATTTATGTTGAATCAGAGATGACATTATGTGCTCCATGTTAGATGTGTAAAAAGGGAATACATAATATTCATTATAACATTTTACATGTTGTCCTATCTTTTAACCTGAAGCGTTACATGACAGTTGTCAACATAATAATATATAGATTGATTAAGTATAAATGTTAATGGTAAAGATATTTAGCAAGTAGCAGATTTAAGGGTATAGCTTGTAAGTTATATTGTTCTTTCTGATCAACAATATCTTTTTAAATAGTAAACAATTATACCAATTAAAAGAGTGGTAATTGCGAGGTTTTATAAAAGATGATGTCGCTTTGAGATATTTTGCTTGCAATCCGGTCAACTCGTCCCCTAGTCAACTCGTCCTCTGGTCAACTCGTCACCTTTTTGGTCAACTCGTCCCCTACTTTTGGTCAACTCGTCCTCAAAGAGTCAACTCGTCCCTATTATGGTCAACTCGTCCCCTACGTTCGATCTATTCGTCACTATTATGTTGTAAATCAATGTCTTTAAATAGTACTTTTTATGTAAACTTTATAATGAATTTGATTGATATCGAAATATTAATAAAATAACGTCTTTTTTACGTTAAATTTTAATGATCTTTATCTAACCCACGTGCTTAGCTTTGATGTAAAATTACAAAGACAGGTAAGTTTGCAAACATTCAATTAATGTTTAATTAATCGGAGTTTTAATGATAATTAAAACTAAAATTAGGTCCAACTCTTTGATTTTTACCTCCTCCCTGAATGGATTAAAGACTGACGACAGATTAACAGAAATTGGAAGTGCTAAAAACTTTATGTCGGTGCGTATTGATCTCATTATAGAAGGATCGTGTCAATTAAAAACATGATAATTGTTTGTTGTGAAATTGTCAATTGTTTCTGATTTTTTTAAAATTGAATTTCATTGTAATATATACAATACAATACAATACAATAGTTTATTCAACATTTAACATTTTACAATGTTTTTAGCATACATACCATATTATGGTCCATTATCATAGGAGTTGTATAAACATACATGCCTTCCTGTACGAAATTTTGGCACGGATTCTGGGCGGAATTGGCACGGAATTGGCACGGAATCAGTGATTTCTGGGCGGACCAGGGACGGAAACGCAAAATCCGTGCCATTCTGTCTCACAAGAAAAATATTTTGTTCACTTTTCTGGGCGGAAAACTAGAAAAATTCCGGCTGGAATTTTATTTTGAGCAGAATTTATACTTAAACATTTCATCTTGGGCAGAATTTTCAACTTTGAAATTTTTTTGGGTAGGAATAGTCTTCACTATGGGCGGAATTCTATACTTAAACATTTTTCTTGAACAGAATTTCACATATAAGATGTCCAAATCATAATTGTACTCCTGTTTTTGCACTTGCAGACATTGAAATTTTACCTACTGTACTTATTTTTTTTGCTGAACCAATAATTACAGGTGTATTTTTAGAATTAATATATTTTTTTTTTTTTAGACATTAAAATAGGCCTTCTTTTTAGATACAAAATGTGGCATTAATAATATATTGTCAGACTAATTTATATTTTTTGTACTGAAAAACAACTGTAATAATCTTAGTGTAGAATTTGAAAACATTCACCTCCAAAATCCTTAAGTTTATAATAAAAAGATTTTTCATACAGCTTGTATTAATTAATACATTTACTGTATTATGAATTCTTAAATATGATTTTAGGACATCATCTAAAAGCAACATTAAAATAAGAATGCTTTTTAAATTTAAATATAGGGCAGTCACATCGGGACAAGAATATAAGTGTGCTTGCCATTTTAAATTCTAAGAATTCATCATTTTGTTATAAAAAAAATAAACAAAACAGTGCATGAAATAATCTCATAATTTATATAATGCCCTTTTAATCTATATAAAATTGATCAACCAATATGCCCAATAATTGCTTTTATTTACCATAGGTAAATAAATACTACAATGTATATTCTCACTGAGATTATATTCACCCAGATTTTACACTACACAGATCAGAGCTCTGATAAAACTCTACTGACCAGCAGTTTCCCATCATCTACGCATGACTGGTCATTCCAACAGATCAGGCTGTTCCATGTAATTATTTTGGGGAGAGATAACATTATAGATTGCATATGTAGAATTTGTTTAGGACATATTGCAATTTTTTTGTACAAAAATTTGTAATTGTTTTTTAAAATTTATATATATATCTATTTGTTATTTGATTTTTCTTTTACATTCAATGAATGAAAGTTAAGATGATGAGTAAATTAACCCTGTTTTACATAATGATGGACCGGTCCATTATACAGTAAACTGTTGTGAATTTTGAATTCTAAGATATCTGGGTCAGCATTACAGAGGATGTACTTGATATTTTAACAATTTTGGAGTAAAGTTTTGTTTAAGATCTCAAAGTGTTAAAGTAATTGGAATGATAACATGGGACAAGGAGATGTATAACATAATCAGGTAATTATTAACTTTTAGTTACATTAATTTTATATGATGACTATCAATACTAAGTAGCCAACTAAAATTTGTAACAAGAGGTCATTGTTGTTTTAGTATTTTCAACTTCATACATTTGTTGTTTTTTTTCTGATAATTGCTTTAAATCTTTAATACATGTATTATTTGCAAGTTAAAAATTATTCAATGATTTTTTTGTTAATATAATGATTGTGTAAATCTATATTGTATACATAGCATGTAAGTATATCTTTTGCATTTCCTGGAAATTAAACAAATTAAATAAATTTGATTAAATAGGACTAAATGGTACAATCAGTAGTTTTGTACAGTTGAACAGGGTCATCATAATCATTTATTATTTTACATGTTTGTGTTGTCTTTCCTATGGAACAATCTAAAATTACATTTTACACACGTAATTTGCAGGCTGCTCAGGGACTTAAGTGCTGACTGTGAGATGCCAGGTGTTTAATAATGATGAGCAGTATTAATCCTGAAAAGGTATATTTTTAAATCTCTATATTTAACTATTCAACATCTTTCCTTGAAAAATACATAACCAGTAATAAATAGTGTCACACATAAAGCAGTCAGTTAATTCTTATACAGAGCAATTCTTAAACACTTGTACACTTGAATAACTGATTCTGTGTTGCTTTACTATTTTTGAATATGCTTTATAAGCATAGTTAATATTTAATACTGTTATAAAACATAAAATTTGATATTATTAAAAAATATAAAATATAACTGCATATAATTATGCAATAAAACAATGTTGAGCCGTGTCATGACATAACCAACATAATGGGTTTGCGACCAGCATGGATCCAGACCAGCCAGCGCCTCAGCGCAGTCTGATCAGGATCCATGCTGGTCGCTATCAGTTTCTCTACTTGTAATAGGGATTGTAAGCGAACAGCATGGATCCTGATGAGTCCGCGTGGATGCGCAGGCTGGTCTGGATCCATGCTGGTCGCAAACCCATTATGTTGGTTTTGTCATGACACGGCTCAATTCATTACAAAATATTTGTTTAATTAATTATGAATTTTATTATTAAAGGTGAGCACAACCACAAGAAGTTCTAGGAAACACAGGCAGTGGACTTAAAACAGACATGGATTAAAGAAATAGTAATTTAAATAATCAGAAACATTTGAAACAAATTTATGATTGAAACACTTCCAGCAAAATAATTGCAAAAAAAACACAAAGTGTTGGATTCTAAGATTCCAAAACCTGCAGCTAGAAAAAAACTGTTTGTGTTATAGTGAATGAAGGGTATTCTATTCTGTATATGGACTAAAGGATATGATATTTTTTTTATTAAAGTTTGTGTAAGAAAATTTAATGTGATACATTATTGATAATTTTATCCCAAAATATGTGATCATGTTAAACTCATAAAATTCCGCCCCCTAAATTCTGTCCCAGAATTCCGCCCAGAATCTAGTTTGACAATTCCGCTCCGAAATTCCGCCCCAAGGTTCCGCCCCAATATTCCGCTTCAAAATTCCGCCCCAAGATTCCGCTTCAAAATTCCGCCCCAACTCATTTGCATATTTCGTCCCAATTCCGCCCAGAATCCGTTCCATTTCCGCCTGGAATCCGGCCGGAATCCGTGCCAAAAGCAAATGGTTTAACACTTGTATATTCGGGGGAGAATTTAAATTTCTGGGCGGAATCTGCCTTTGAATTCCGCCCCATTTCCGTGCAGAAAATTTCGTACAGGTTTTGAAAGAGTTAGTATTTTTTTTTTTCATTATTTTTTTTAAATAAAAAATCCGTACAATGATATTTGCCGTGGATATTAACTAATTGAAAACATAAAGTAATTACTAAATATTCAATTGCCATCTAATAATAAGTAAAGATTAATATTAAATTTCCATAAATAAATCTTTAAATTGATCTCAAAGAGGAGCTGTATAAAACCGAGTTCCAGAATTTCTTGTATAATACAAGTCAACATATTGAATGTATTAATTGTATTTAATTCAACATTTTCACATATTTGACCATACACCATCAAAAACAAAGTCGACATTTGGAAAATAAAATTTTATAACAACCTTTGGCACGATTTTCACGCGATTTGTATAATTTCTAATTAAAGACACGCGTTCTTTTAATATGTATATACGTATCCAACCACAGAGGCAAATGTGTCTTTAATCCTGTTATCAAATTACTATGTGTTTACTTTAATAACCAAAGGCACGTGTCATGATATATTTAATTAACAACAAAAAAAACCTCCAAATATTCGCATACAAAAAGCGTCAAAATATGTCAAATTCAGTAATTTTATAATGTATTATTTTAACAGTCTATGATAATTTATTGGAGGGGGGGGGACGAGTTGGGGACGAGTTGACCAGGGGACGAGTTGTCCAAGGGACGAGTTGACCAAAAAGGTGACGAGTTGACCAGAGGACAAGTTGACCAGGGGACGAGTTGACTCTGAATCATTTTGCTTGACCAACATAAACTATAACAAGCCCGTAACGTCTTATATAATGGACTTGTAAGTGCACTGTCCCTACAGAGTAGTGGTGACATATAGGGATCACTTCTCTGTCGTCTGTCTGTCTGCCACTGTTTTTCGTGTTGCCAGCTACACAAAAGAAGTTGTCCGGACTACGTACTCTTCAAAAACTCTTTGTGCAATTTCATCCAAACCTTACAGGAATGATAAGTATACCATGTCTAGTTGTACTTGTCATCGTCTTTTTCTGGTTCAATGATTTTTGTCAGTTATGGACCTATAATGATTTTTAGTTTTAAAGTTTCTCCTCCTATACCACTTATGCAATTTTTAATTAAACTTTACTGGATTAATTGGTAGCTTAAGAGAGCCTACTGAGAGCCCTGAATAAGGTATTAATGAAGTTTTTCCAGACTTCTCCTCTTATACCACTTATGCAATTCAGTTAAACTTTACTGGATTGATTGGTACATGTACATTGTAGCTCAAGTACTTGTGCATGTTTCAGAGGTTTTCTACTTGAATGATTTTTGGTCGAGTTATGGCTCTTGAATGAAAAAAGGTGTGTTTTTTTCTATACAGAAGCTTTTCTCAACTAATCTTCAGAAACTGCTGATGCAATTTCATCCAAACTTTAAAGAAATGATCAATACCATGTTTAGCTGTGCATCTCATGGGCATTGTTCTATTTAATTATTTTGTCAGAGTTATGGCCCTTTAATGATTTTTATTTTTAAAATTTGTACAAACTAATTCTCATATACCATTGATGCAATTTCAATGAAACTTTACAGGACTGATCGGTAGTTCAAGTACTTGTGCATATTACATGGATTTTCCAGTTAAATGATTTTGGGCAAGTTATAGCCCTTGATTAAAAAAGCATTTTGCTGTTTATGATTTTTGTGCCTCTTGCTACACAGTGGCTGCAAAGAGTTATACATAAAATGGATAACAATTTGCTAAAATTAAAGGTTTTAAAATGACAGTTAAGATTTTGTTTACTGAAAGGTACACTGTATTGATTTGATTTTCAAATCTTTATGAAAAAATATACATTTTTATCACACACCCGTGCCGATTTAGCGACTCCGTAAAAATGGTATTGCACGGCCGTGCATATATTTTGACGTGACGTCATTAGCGTTATACAAACATAGTGTAAAGACGCGCTGAATGTAAGCGTTATACTATAGGCGCGTCAGTGAAAATGACTCTTATTTCACTTTAAACGGTCTTTATTTTGGGTATGTGATAAATAGAATATTAAATTCGTGTAAGTTCATTACTGAATTTATTGCCTTCGTTGAATAAAATAATATTATGCTCGCCAGAGGCTCGCATAATATAATTTTATTCAACTCGTGCAATAAATTCAGTATTGAACTTACACTCATTCAATATCCTCTATATATCTCCTTAGCTGTCCTATAATGCCTAAACAACATTTACTATAGTACATACATCTCATATTTCAGGAGGGGGAATCCGAAATGACAGGGAGGGGGAATGGGTAAGGATTATCGGAGGAATGATCCAAGTGTTTATCTCCCATGTGTCCTCACACTGTTGGTTTGATGTGGGGCTTTGACTGGTTTGTTTTTGGAGTGAATATGTTTAGCTTGCATTGTTGGACATTTAGCAATGAATTTTGCATAAGACCAGTGATAATGACTTTACCAGGGTATGCTAGTCTGTGGTTAAAATTTAATAGTGCTATATCAATTGATTTTAAACAAACATTATGAAGACTATATGATATAAAATCTAATGTCAAGTTATGTGAAAAACTGTCTTGAATTTATTCACATTTTTGTTCAATGAGGGAAAATGTTTGTAGAAAATGTTTTCTAACATGCCAGTATCTTTTTATAATGTTAAGAACAGATTTAAAGATACTTCTGCTTTTTGTCAGAATCTGGCTAACACCAAAACTACACTCTTACCCTGTAGAGGGGGAGATAAAGGTAAAACAGCACAATATCTGAACTAGCAGTTCATTTAGTTGGACTACTTTCTTAACTACAAACCTAATGCATTTTCTTGTATATTAACAGCAGTATCTGACAGAACAATGGGTTCGGTGGTTGGCAAGGTCATGGAAGAGAACTTCAAGAAGCAACAAGTGTTTATGGAGAAAAGTCAGTCAGAAATGGTATAACCAAACTATAAGTTTAAACAAATTTTATCATTAAACATTACATAGCATGAACACCAGCCACTCATGAAAATATTTATCTGCAGTTCACTCAGTGAAATATATTTCAATCTTACATTAAAACAAATAAAATTTCTTTTTATTTCATGCTTTTTAAGTGATTTTAAGTATATTTTTTTACTGATTTTTCAGCGTAACGTCGCTCATTCTCCTTTATGACATCATCACTAATTCTCTAATTTTGTTACATTTTTAACATGATGTATGATGACATCAACTTTCTTTTCCTAAAGAAGCAAAATTTACAAATGACGGCATTTATTTTTGCCCGTTATTCCATTTAGTTATGATATTCTTTTCATCCACATTCAGATATAGTCCGGCTACAGTGAAAATTATATTTTATAAATTTCACTAGTGGTTAATCAGAATGTTATCATCTGATATATTACAGTAAAACACTGGAAAGTATGAAATAAATTTATTTACAGCATGTAAGGATTGGTCAGATACATGTAGCTATGAAAGCTTATAAATACTCTTTCATCTCTCCGCAAAACTATTATACCCAGAGCCTTTCTCCAGCAACTTTTGTAAAAGACCTTTCGCAGGACTTTGGATAAAATATTGGATATTTTAGGGAATTTGAGAAATTTTTCAAGTTGAAAAACTTTCTTATAAATGACTGGAAAGTTTTTAATGTGTATAATGACTATAATCATTAGGGCTGTCATTGATGGAAACTTTTGTATCGATATATCGAGAGACAAATATCAACGATACATCGATATAACGGCTTTGACAGTAGATTCAATGAAAAACATTTATATATGTTATAATTTGGGATCATGGTGTAATGCATGCTTGAATTACACATTACAAATACTACATACTAACAGAAAGTTTGTTTTTTCTGTCATTCTTGTCGCTGACATTTGAAAACGGAGCTTAAAGTTCAAGTTAGCCAAGAAAACTAGAAATAAATTACTTTTCTTCTAAGCCAAAATAGAGAGGTACATTAACTACCAGAAATAATTTTTTTTAGCTTGTATCGATATGTGAAAGTGTGTATCAATATTGTATCGGATGATGAATATCGATGATATATCGATATCTGGATGTTCAATGACAGCTCTAATAATCATAATACCTGTCACTTCCTTTGAGATACCTGTCAAAACAATTATTTTTTTCTCTGAAGTTGGAACAAAGCTCTTTACTGTGAACTGCTTACTTTAATAATACAATATTTGGTATCTAAAATCTGAAAATGCTATTAAAGGACAGTTTAAATTTACCAGAAGAATGAGATGTAAGTGTATGAAGCAAGCGTGTTTGAAATGTGAGTCACAGAGACAAATATTAAATTAATGCATGTACATTTAAAGTCAAAACTGTAAAAGGGGGTATTAAGAGGATGAAATTCATTTAACAGCTTGCCAAATATTCACAACTTCACAAGAACCACAAAAAAAATGAAAGAAAGAAAAATAACCTGTTACAAGTTTTATATATTTGATGCTTATAAAAACCAAATGTCAGTCACCACTAACTCAGAATCATTGTGAACCATTAATTTTGTTGTATTTGTAAATAATTAAGACTTAAACAAGCATTTATATTTCATTTTATAGTTGGAGCGACAAATACAAATGCAGAATCAGATGCGAGAACGTCAGGCAGCTATGATGTTAGCAAGATCTCGAGATATGTTTCAGTGGTGGTGTGCATTCTACACAACCATTGCTGTAATGGGAATTGCAGGGTAAATATTTCCTTTGCTGTTAAAATTTGTACAATGAAGCTTTATCAGGAGTTCTGATTCTAGAGGAGTTCTGATTTTAGACATTTATATACTGGACGTGGTAACATTCATTGCTTATTATTCTTTTCTTTCAAATTGAACATAGTTGGAATTATTGCTATTAATTTTGTCATACTTCACTCATTTACTTTGGTCGACTCTACCGACTTCAGATTTAATCTTATAGGTACAGATTTCATAATATTATAATGGCCATATTGGTTTATCCTAGACTTGCATTATTAAAAAGCCATCTCATATACATGTATATCACAGGACACATGATATTAAACAAAGTCTGAGATGTTAACATTGTTCATAGAGAATTTTGTAGATTTTATTCAATTATAAGAGACAATCAACTTTCATTTTGAAAAATGTTTGATTAAATATTTTTATATTCTATTCATCATTGATATTGTTATAATATTGATATTATCTATTGTTGATATTTATGGTGTTTTATTTGATTAGTTTTGCCAAGAAGAAGAACCCTGCAGCATTAGTACCACTGGTTCCCTTTGGTTTTATACTAGGCTATCAGTATGACTTAGCTTACAGTACCAAGATGCAAAGGTGTAGAGGTAACTTTTACTGCTAGATATTCACAGTTATTGCCCCTGTTTATAACAAAATCCTGGTTATCAGATAATGAATAAAATTTGGTAAATGTTGTTCAAGGGTGAATGAGAGTTTGCAAATTCTTCTTTGTGCAACTCTGTACATTTCTCAAAGAATTTCACCCAAACTGTCATAGAATTATCATCACCAAGTGCACTGTCACTTATTTGGGTTTCATGATTTAATCATTTTTGGCAGAATTATGACACTTTGTTCTAAGAGAAATTTTTGTTACTTTTGTAACATATTTAAATTTGATATTTTTATTTTTATAAAATAATGGTTTATACTTGTAAAACATGTATACATATGTTTTCATATGCTCACAATACATCTATACAACCTGTTTCAGATGAAGCAGAAAGAATAATGATAAATGAAGGCAGCTACATACAGTTACCCAATGGTCTACCAACATTAAAAAGTATTGATGCAGGGAGACAAAAGGGAAAATAAACCTTCATTTATTTTATAAAACACAATCAACAAAAAATACTTATAATTGTGACTGTGTGTTTGTATACATTCATTAGTAGTGCCATTTTAAAGTAGCTCATCTTCAGATTCATGCTACTTTTTACAACACTTAGAAATTAAAGTAGGAATTTTAACAACTTTTGTGAAGTGTACAAAATGAAGCTTACAGACTTGATCATCCACAGAAGTTATCTTTTAAAATATTGAAATATGTAGGTATAACTCTAACTCCATAGTTAATAGGATGTAGCTGTTATATAAAATTTGAATATGTAAATTTAGTCATAATTTAAAGAATAAAAAGTAAATCTGTGTAAGTCAGCTCCTAAATAATGTTATATTTGATGTAAGCATAAGAAGATCTTAACTTTAGTTACATTACTTCAGTAACATTGGGTACACACTTGAATCTGAAATATTTGCACATTTTGTAAACTTGTTACTTATAGAGTTTAGTCCTTAACTAGAAATTTGTTGACTCATCTTGGAACTTAAAGCAGCATGCCTCCAGATTCATGTTAATTTCCATGATTTTTTTCAATGTACATTGTATTTAAAAATGAAATATTGTGAAGTGAACAAAGGCACTTATCGGTAGAAGCCACATGAATTACTGTGTTTGTCACACAGTAGAAGAAATATAGTGATTAATAGTGCAAAATCAGTTATTAAATGCACATTAACTGTAAATTAAATCTTTAATATTGAATATTTTTACTTTTCTTAAAATATTAGTACATGTACATTTTTTTCTCAAGTTTGATTTTCTTGAAATATTTTGCAGCTTTAACTGTAAACTTGATTTTTTTTAAAAAAGAGAAATGATGTTTCTATAAATAGAATGCATGATTATGTTATCAGTCTATGTGTTATTTCATATCAAAATTACAACTATTTCAACAACACAAGCTAATCTTGTGGTATGTAGATTAGATTTAATCATGACATAGAATTTGTATGTGCTGATTTTGTTTTGATATGTGTATTTAAAATGTTTTTGCCGATTAAGCAATAAATGCTTTACATGTTTTTACATTGCAAGAACATTTATATATCTCTTTAAGTGTAATATTAAAATAGGATGAATATGCCTTGATAAATTAAGATAATAAAAGAATTTTTGGTGCATTTACATGTATTTGTTACCTTTTGACCTATAACTCCTTTTATGCCAATTCTTCTATATGCCATACATATTTATATAACAAAAATACAATGTATTTATATTATGTGTACATACATATTTATATTTTATAAGTGATGTCTACATGTTTTCTATGAAGATATTTGTTTAGAATTTAATGTGCAAGTAGGTTCAAGTAAGCATATGAAATTGCAAAGATCTTTAAATTGGGGGGGGGGGGAACTTTTAAAAAACAACAAGTAAATGGAATGAAAATTTCATTATTTTTTTTAAAGATTTTATGTGGCATTTTATGTACCTTAGTACATGTCAATAAAACTGGAATCAGATAATGTATTCATGGTTTCGTATTTCTTATTAAAGACATGAAAATATACGTTCAGCATAATGTTACTGTGCCAGTCCGGCTGCACATTTTTCTAACTCCAAATCAAATGAAGTACTGGTATCGTCGGGTTTAATTAATTGCTATAATTGTAATTCCCATATTCTCAGGGACATAAATGTTACATTGTTTCTTTTCTCAGAATGAGCAAACATTATGTTCCTATGAATTTACAGATTATCTAGTGTTTCCTTGAAATATTTAAATATTAATAAACCCTTCTGAAATACATGTAGTAATGTAAATTGACTTATACTGCTTGGATTTGGGATTATTGTCACCTTAGTGCAAGAACTGATTAACTCCTATTTAATTAAGAAGGACTTAATCCATTACTGCATTAAGGTAAGGATATGCTGACTGCAAATTTTAAGTATTTTACAAACACCATCACTTGGACATGCTGGATTGAATATTTCTCTATACTGCAGGCAAAGGCCTTCCTTATTGTGTCTGTTAGTCTGTCAACTATTTCAAATTCTTATATAGACTGTATATTTATATCTTGTTAGTTAAAACTTGTTTTTTGGATGAAATTTGTATAAAATTAAAAGATTGAAATAGTTCCTAAAGTCTTGAGTGTTAAGTTCATATTATGCAGGTACCATCAAATAAAAGATTGAATTCCGAAGTTTATATACTGTAAAACAGGTACATGTACTTTGATAATGCCATTAAAAATCAAATTATGCTGATTTTGTTTAACTTGAGCCCGGAGATAAAATTCAATACATTTCATTATCTCACTACTGGCTCAATGTTGTAAAACTTTTTTCTGAGCCCAATTTCTTATCTCAGGATTTTCATTGGACAGTGTAATTTCTGTGCTGGTTTCTGACCAATCAAATACCTGAGATTTCAGTTCATCATATGAGTTTTAGCTGAGAAAATTTCTTTATAACCTAGGTCTACCAGGAAAAGACAGACCAAAAAATAACTGTTGAATTCTCTTGCTGAAGATATCAGTACAAACATGTGCTGTATTCTTTATGTCTGAAAATGTTGAGCAGTTCTTAAAACAAGTCTTGTCCGTGGATAGCACACTCCACTTTTCTCAGTACTAGATACATGTAGTTGAAAAAAGGCACCATAGAAAAAGGGGTAAAATTCTGCAAACATATTTAGCAGACTAACCTGCTATTAATAGTCAACAAATATTTGTCAAGTTTGAAGTGATTTCCTTTAACGCCTTGATAAAAAGGCAAATATTCCGAGTCAAAAAAGGAAATCATTTAACAAGAATGGCCGTCTGTATTATCTGCCCCTTAAAAATGCATTTTATAGTGGACAAGTACCCCAGTTTAAAGTGAATATCTTGATATTTTTTTGAAAAATTTACCAGATACTGTTTAACCAAGAGGGGGCATAACTGCGAAAAAATACTAGTAAATGATAAAAGTTATCTGCCCTTAAGAAATGCATTTTAATTTGAAATTTGACCTAATTTTCCAAATTTAAGGTGATCAACATTGAAATTTTTTTAGAAATTGACCTAAAAAATTAGTATAAAGGAGGCATAACTTTTCGAGAATGAATTTAAGGATTATCGATCTACCCTTCTGAAAAGGTGCCATATTTTGATAGTGAACATGTATATAAATTTTGAAGTAAATAGCTTGAGAAAAAAATGGATGTTAACAATAAATGGTTAAGCAGGGCTTAACATTAAAGTTAAAAATGGGGCATAACTTTGCATAAAATAATTTTAGGATTATCTTTACTTTGAAATGGCAATAAAGCATGTATGCCGAGTTAAAAGTGAAAGTTTTTATACTTTCTGAAGCAAAAAAAAAAAGATCTTAACTTCAAAAACACACTGTATTACCGGCGCCAGTGATTGCAGATCACTGCAGTGATGGAAAATTTCCATGAAATATACCTCTCAGTACAGGTAGGTTATAAATTTGGTTGGTATTATTATATTACACAAATACGGCCCATTTCATTGCTACAAAACTATTTTCCATTGACTGGAGATACTATTAGGTAATTTCGGACTCGATATTTCCTGTTTTTCGACTATAAAATCCGTGAAAATGTCTGGGTTTTTTTGTTATAAATATCTCAAGTTTTAACTAAATGGCAGGATTTCGTGTAATTAATATAGACGTTCATCCTTTTGGTCACGCAAGCCAAATATCTACCCTGTGAGTCTTTTCTTGAAAGTTTTACAGACGTTCAATCTGGTCCGGTCGAAGAAAAAATGCTGCCGTTGTAGGCTGATACTTATTTTAATTGCTGCCGTCGATGGCAGAAATACCATGAAAGTGGCTAACATTCTGACAGAAAATCAAGGTCAATCTTTTATCAATTCCTCTATTCTTTGTGTCCTTTTAGTCGGAATTGAGACGTTAAACTATCATTTCTAATATTTTCTCAAGATAGAAAAGTTATTAATGCGATATGTGCATCGAAAAAGCTTTTTAGCAACACGTAGTTACAGTACAAAATGTTATGATTCAGTTCGACCAAATTGCACTATAAATAAGCGAAATTAACATGAAGAAATTCATTTTTCTATATTAATATTATTGCTGTAATATGCAAATGGCATTATGTCTTGAAAAGGGAGTGAATTATGCGCTGCTAATTTTAAGGTATTGTTTGCATGTAACTGACAGACACAACAGATCAAGCACACATGCATGAATATGTTTATGTGTAAAATTTGCCATATTTTCAGTCTATTTGTTGCCATAGCAACCAGAATATTCAACATAGGAAGAAAAGAAGATGATGTGCATAATCTCCATACTGCCATCTATCCATATATCAAGTTTCATAAAAATATTTTCAGTACTTTTCAAGTTATCGTGGGATCTAGTTTTGTGGACAGATGGACTGACAGACAGACGGACGGAGGGTAAACCTAAGGTTCCCTCCCGTAAACTGGTAGGGGACTAACAAGCAATTATCAAAGTATTGCGAGTAATATAAAAGTCCCCTACTGGTAAGAACCCAAGCAACATTTTCAATTTAGCCATTGTGGAAGACATGAATCAACTTCAATCTTTGGAGTTCTTTGTTTATCTGTATCATAGTAATGTGTTAAGTGTCCATGACTTATGAGGAAATTATGTTTATACAACAAATCTTAAATCTCAAGTAGATACCATTTATAGAATTTAAGATGAAAAGTGAAAAATATAACAATTTTCAAATATATAAAAGTAAAGTTTATTTCTGTAACATGGTACTCCGGCCCAAAATACAACATAGACATTGCAATGGAAAATACAATATACCATTAATAGTAACAATTAAAGAAAAAAATTTAAAAAACTCTAATAATTTTCAAATCAATTCCAAGTTAAAAATGAAAATTTAAGGATGATAATTCTGATTATTATAAAGGTGCTAGAATAATGGACCTAATGCCACATATGAAGTGGGTGTGATAAGAAACATATATTCAATGTTTGAAGTAGGTATGTTAAGAAATAAAGAAGTTGTATATAAAAAAAAGCAACAACATTTTTTTAAGAAAATTGCAAGTTCAAGGGGGGTAAATCTAATAAATTTGGTGCTAGAGTTGTGAAGCTTGACATGCATATTTTCCATACGGTCATGATGCCATCTTTTTAATATTTTAAGTTTCATAAAAATGTTTTCTGTTCCTTTGAGTAATCACAAATATTGTTATATTTGCCATATTTTAAGTCTTTTTGTGGCCATAGCAACCAAATTTTTCAACATTTCAACATAAGAAGAAAAGAAGATGTTCATAATTTCCAGACTGCTATTTAACTATATTTCAAGCTTCATTTTAGTATTCAGTACTTTTTGCATCACCACGGGATAAGGTTTCATGGACAGATGGACATACAGAAGGACAGAGGGTAAAGGACAGAGGGTAAACCTAGTCACATCTGGTTAAACTGATAAGGGACTAAAGACAATATTTATGTTTCAAATAAAAATGTGTTAAAAACACCTATAACATTAAAACTTCTTACACTCGGCCCATTTTCTATACCAATCAAAATGTTTTATTTTTGTATTGGCCCCATTTTCCTTTAATGTTTCTCAGCTGCCCTGTGGTAAAACATAATTTGGCAAAGAGGGTGATCTAATTTCAACAAGCTAATATAATAATGAATGTTTAATTAAATTTTTATCAAAACTGCTCAAGTTGATGGTCTTTACCTGAGTCATAAACAATGTCTTAATTGGTTCTATTATATCTTTTTTGGCATGCAACACATCAATCAACATGCTAAATCCGTCCCCCTCCCAGTACTGCCAAGCACACATGTGACTCTGTATTAGGGCTGGGAACGAATAAGGAATTCGATGTTCGAATATTCGTTTTCCATATTCGAATATATTCGAATATTCGTTTTTACAACATTTGTTCCAATATTTCTCTTTGACGTATACGTATCCGAAATTGACTGCGTCGAATACTATACTACTTTAAAATGCTTGGAATAATCGGCGATTAAAAATACCTTTATTGCTATGTCGAAGTTTTTTTAATTTATATATCGTAAATCGAGATATATATGTTTACTTTTGAAATAAATTCATAATTTGATTGCCTTTTGTTCAGTAAACCCGACCGCTGTCTTATTAACGGAGGTAACTCACGTGACTTGACTGACAGTAATATGAATCATCGTAGCCATTTATCCCCAAAGACACATAATGATATTGAAACTTAATTTGTATTAAATATTTTTTATTTATAATTTTAGATAAAGTTTAAAATATTCTTTAGATAAGTTTAGCTATAACGAGGTAAATATCACACGGAGTCTAATGTCTACGGAATAAATGTATTCTGACAGAATTTAGACACTTCAAATGCTTTCATAACGCGCCGAATAATGGTGCCAATTTATTCTTATTCACAAAATTTAAGACAATTATTGATAAATCGGAAAGATTTTAACACAGAAAACAATAAATAAGATAATTAAAATCGGAAAAATTTACATTATAAACTGTTCAACAGGTAAATTGCAAACTGTGAAATGGGTGCCCTTTTGATCAACTATACCCCAAAGTTTTCACAGTTAATTGGCGATAATTGTTGACACGCGTCATACAAACATTTGAACACCTGGTGAAAGAAAGGGCAAAGGTTTAATTTACGATCTGAATTGAAATTTGAAAGTAATGACAAAAAAATGAAACATTTCTCCTTTTTTTTTCGAATATTCGTATTCGTTTTTCAATGTTCGAATATTCGGTAGTGTTTCGAATATTCGAATATTCGAATATAATTCCCGGCCCTACTCTGTATTAATCAGTTGCCATAGATATAAAATGTTTAATGTCACATTATCAATTCACATGTAGATTCTCTATCAAATGTTAAACAACTTGTCCAGCAAGCATCACTTCTGTAAATACAATATTCTATTTATAATTCATAATGAAAACTGTCTTTGGGAGAAACAATTTTAACTACATGTACTTACATATGTATAGTAGAATTTGAGTCTTTGTTACTAAAGTTATTTTGCTACTCAAAGCATTATACAAATATACACATATCATAAGGAAAAATCTGATGTCCTTTGCAGAATTCAAAAACAGTGTTGAGGGGAAAATGTTTTGT